AATATTAAGGAGGATGACAATTTCACGGTACATTAGCGTCCGGTAGGAGTATCCAGAGACATGTTTGCGGACGACGCGACTAATTATGTTTTTAATTAATCATCATTTTGTCGGGCCGAGACGACGAGGACGCGTTGAAGTCGCCAAAGTTTGCTCGGTTTGGCTCGTTACCGCTACCGATGACGTTCTAATAATGCACGTTGGCACGACATGACACCTGCCCCTCTTCCCCGGATGATTCCCTTCGACCCTGCCCCGTCCTCGCACTTCCTCTGTCACCCCATGTGTAACGCAGCGTTGCACCAAAGCCGCGATCATTCTCGTCAAATGCTCGTCGTATCCCGCGTATCAACGTAAATGACTGTCAAAGCGGAGAGCATTTTCCACGAAAGATTACATCGTTATATTCTACGAAAGATAATCTGCTTATTATTTCTTATTGCTTCCATTAAAATTCCTGCGTCTTCTGACGAAATGCTACGTAATGTTAGCAAAGTAATTTGCATGCAAAAGCGACTTGTTATCATTAGCGTTCTCAGAAGGCATTTAGAGCATGATTATCTCTTTTGGCAAACACGTCACGGCGTTTCCTACGCTTAAAATAATTCACGTCCGATCGATAAATAATTGAAGAGTTGATCAAATAAATGTCTCTCCTTAGGAAGACGCGACTTTGGCTTATGTATATATTCGCTCGACGGAGGAGTTTGCGAGTAAAAAAATTTACCCTAACAAGCGCACGCTCTTTTCCTTTTCTCGGGACCTGCTCTTATATCACTTTTCATTATTCGCGGCCTGTATCCATTAATCGGTTCCACAACGATCTATTCTCTCGCTTCGCGCTCTCGATTGACGATGATCCGCGCGGCTTTGACGATTCCTTTCGTGCTGCGTCGCAATCAATCGCGGTGGTTGTGTAGGGATGATCCATTATCATCGCACGCAGAGAATGCGAGATGGATCCTCGCACGATCGTCCGGTCACGACAGTAAAAGGATGGTGATGTAACGCGATCGTTCCAACATCGTCCTTAGAGATGCTCGGCGTCGTCGATAGACAACCGATTAGATAATCGATTCGGAGAAGAAGGGCTCGCCGATCGATCAAGTTCGCCGAACGCGAGTTTTTCAACCGTGCGGTTGTCGCGAATCGAGAATATACCTTCGGCTTTCGACCGTACGATTTCCGTGCGAGATTCTCCTTGGACTCACGCGAGCGTCGACGATGACGGGAAGAAGAGATGCGCCGCGCGCAAAAAATTCCCGAGCTAATTGTCGTCTAGATCGCTGTTGGGATTAGATCACGGGAAACGTTAGCATAATCGAAGGTAGAACGATCGAAGGTGACCAGACGTGGAATCCACAAGCGATCGCCGATGGATTTTGTACCTGCCTGATGCTGCGTTCGAACCGCTTTCGTGAAATTAGGGTGACCCTAACATTCGACCGAGCATCGTCCTCCGTCCCTCTTTCTCGAACACAAAGTGCACAGATCACGTTTCTTTAAATATCTAAGTAATTGCCCGGACGAACGCGCGCACATACGAAATTTACGGGGTGTAATCAAGAGAAGAAGAGATAGTGTGACAATAATTTACTCGAATCAAAAGTCTATGCATTCAAATTGAGACGCGAGAAATTGCATACACGCGTTTAAATTGTTATATTAAAAGAAAAAGAAATACAATAGGACGGAATAAAATTATAACAACGCAAAATAATGAATCTATATAATCGTCATAATAATTAATCGATGATCAATCGCAACAATAAGAGGGAAAAAATTGTCACGTATATTTAAGTGCCAGAAACAATCGAGATCATCTCTGATAGTTAAATTCATCGTTGATACGCGCGATTAAGCGGACAAGGCGGAAAACGTCGCGTCGCGGCACATCGCGTAATTATGGGATCCTCGTTGCGGGATGCTGACAGCTCCAAGCCTGGACCGCGTAAACAGTATTAATCACAATGCGCGTATTTGCACGCACGTCGCGTCGCTACGGCCCGTGATGCTCATAGTTGTGCAGTAGAGTTACCTCCGTAGGTGTTGCATCGTTGCTACGTGCACGTGTACTTGTCTGTGCGCGCGCTGACAGTTCGTTTGAACGCAATTAACGTCCCGCCCGTGATGACGTAAGGGATCGCCGAGGCGAGTTAAACGTTTCGTCGCAAAGTGGACGAGAAGCCAATCGTTTGACAGATTCGAGTATTTTTTTTTCAGCCTACGCTTATTCCACGGGTACGATAAGTAGGAATTTTATATTCGCATAATTTGCGTTAAAAATAGACAATTCATTATAATGATGATGACATATGTCATCGCACTCAATTAACGAGCAATAAAATTCCTTTAGACAGTTGAATGTCGAATAATATTAATGCGCATCTCGCATTCTATATAAAAACTCGAACGTTTACCTTTGTATCCTCTTGTTAATCTAATCGATGAAACATTAACGCGCATCGAACCGAGACGAATCGTACATTAAACTAAGTGTTATATTAAATGATTATGGTAATATCGATCGCGCGTGCTATTCTCGTGGTACAACTCACGTCGATGTCGGCAGTAATCGCGTGTGGTTATCAAAGCGGCAAGAAATGAAATATCTTACGACGCGTTCCACGTGTCCGTCGTCGTGGACACGTTTCTTCGAAGACGTGGTCTCGGCAGCCACGAAATCACGACCGTAAATGTAAATGGGCGACGACGAAGAAACGAGAAGGAGAATCAGACGAGGTAAAGAAAGAGGGAGAGAAAGTGGAAAGAGCCGATCGTAACGACGAAGGCTCAACTTTATGAATATTATTTTCCAGCAGATGTCCTGGACGATAGGACGTCGTCGCCGTCGTCGTAATTAATGACATCGCGACAGTGCGACGAGGAGGGCGGCTCCTGGTCGAAGTGAGATGACGGACGAAAGACGGGGGGGTAGGAAAGGGAGGCAGCGCGTAAGGGGATGCCGACGATAAGGAACCCGTAAGCGTAGGAAGGCAGCGAGTCGGACGGCGACAGACAATGCGCGCCTGAATTATCCCGGAATGACTGGGTAGTTTTAAAGCCAGGAAGCCGACATTAGCGCATTGATACCGAACATTCTGACTGCGCGCGGGGAACCATTAATATTACTTACTTCATAACGCGCGGCAACTCCGCAACTCCGCCTTCATCCGCCCGTAACTGCTTATCCGCTAGTCATATAAACCCGAAATTCAGTTCTATAGGTATCACTCGGGAAACGAAGAGAACGATCGATACGTGTAATTATGACGGATCAAAACGATAATCGCGAATATTTTAGCGAATCAACTTGTAGCTTTACGCCAAACGAAAAGATAATTATATTTTTGAAGAAAAAAAAATACTCCGCTAACTCTTATCCCTCGTACGGAAGAACTTTATATATATATACAAACGGACTTTTCGTGACACGAGATTAATAAGATTTAATTGACCGAACCGTGGCGGATATAGACTTGAGGGGAAATTGCGAGTTTTCCTCCGAGTAGATCAAATGGATTAGCGAGAACAAATCATCGAGATTAAAACGGGCGAAGGCGAGAGACGACGGAAGGAATCGGATCTTCGGTCGTTTCCGACTGCGTTTCGTGCGCTTGTAAAATCAAAAGAGGACAAACAATTAATAAAGCCGGCGCCGTCGATTAATCAGAATTTAACTCGCAGTTAAATACTCGAGGATCGCCCTCGGCTGCTCTCGCGCGTATCTCGAGGGAACGAACGAGCGCGCGGGCCACGCAGGATAAACAAAGGTTTACATCAGTGTCAGTCGCAACAAGTCCGAATTCGTCTCGCCATGAATATTCACGGTGTGCTCGCCGGTCCGCCGCCCTTCCACAGCAAACCACCCCCGGCCCCTCCGTAGCCTCGTGCCCATTTACCACCCCCTGCGATATCCATCGAATGGCCACCAGTCAAAGGCTGAAATCACAATACGCGTTTGTCCGGTTGACGAAGTCGACGGTGGGGTCGACGGTAAAGCAAATAGAGAGAGAGAGAGAGAGAAAGAGAAAGGGTGGCGTACGGTCGAAGTGGGGAAGCGAGTGGTCGGCGGCCGGGGTTCGACCAGTGGTCATTGCCTTTGAATTGGAAATTACGTTTCGGACGGCCAAGTGTCGATTTTCACCCCCTCGTATTAACGGCTCTCTCTCTCTCTCTCGGCCTCGGGGAAAATTCCAAGATTTTGCGGGCCACACTTGGTCCGTTCGTTCGAGACACACTCGTTCAACTCGAACGCAAAGCGGTACGATAATATAGCGGAGCACGCCGTTTCGTGCAACCCTCTTCTCGCCAAGGCTGAGGAAAATGCGGGGGTGGTCCCTTCCCGAAATCAACCCTTTCGGAGAGCTCGACGGCTCTCGGCGGACGCGAGTATTTCGCAGGCGCTCGAATGATTTAATCCCCGAATGATGGACGGGCACGTCGCGACGATGATCTGCGTGCCGTGAAGTGACAAGTGGTTAGGATCACGCGGAAACCTCGGTGTGACTCGGCTCTCCCGGCCACGACACAGTGCGGCTGTGTGTGTTGGTATCGGATGAAACGCGGTGGATGGATTTTGCGGCGGATATATAGAAGAGGGGTGAAATGGCGTAGGCAGAGGCGCAAAGAGGAGGGCAGGCGGTGGGGAAGGGACGTTACGAGCTCTCGCACCATACAAATCATGTTGGCATTACTACGTCAGGCCTGGACTCAACTTGTCGCGCGACCGGAAACTCGATACCGCTCCCCGGTAATACTGATTTATCGGGAAGTGCAGCGGCGTCATCGAGCCCGCTCCGCTGCGTTTTTGTATTTTTGCCCGTCGGTGATGTAGCGCGATTTTTCCGGCTAATCGAGAATTACGGGTTCACGGGTGAACGGCGTTGCGCGAATCGCTGCGTCGAACCGTCCAAATTTCTGCGTAAAAACGCGATAACCGCGGCACGATTTTTCTTTTTTTTTTTTTTTTTTATTAATACGGGTTTTGGATGTCCTACCTTTCGAGATGTTTGACAATGTCTTCGTAGGCAGCTCGGCAGTTTTCCCAAACCGTCCCGGACCTGTGGAGCACAAAACAAAAGGCGATTACGACAAAAAATGGAACAGAAAGTCCGGAACCATCGCAAATCAAAAAAGGGAAACGAAAGGTCGCGTCGTGGAAAGAAATTGCATAATCGCGAGGCGTCCTTCTGCGAGAGAGGACACGCTTGATTAAGAGTCCTCGTTTCGTCTCGTCTCTCGGCTGGGCCGCGATTCGACCGTCGCCGAACGCACCGGGAATGAAGAGCCTTTGATGTCGCTGATTAAAAAAGAGATGTCAGCGCGGAAGGAGCGGAGTTAATTTGTACCTAGGATCGTGCGGAGAAAAAAAAAAAGATATAACGAGAAGAAGAGAGAAGGAAGAGCGGATAAGTTAATCAAAACGGAGGGACGAGGAGGCATAAGAGATCGAATCTTCGTTTGCGCAATGTATAAGAACGGAAATTAGATGGCATCGGGATCGCGTGTCCTGAAAATATTCTCCAAGTATATCTAATGTCAATACGCCTGACACGATTTCCACGGGTCTCGTTCGCGTATTTGCACAGCGGAAAATGAACCTCGGGATGGGGATGGAGGAGTACAGATAGATCCGTACGTGTCTTTCGTGAAAACTGGTCGAAGAGGTCACGCGGGATGATGACGAAAGGTGGACGGAGGGAAGAAGGAGATATACGTCGAGTTAAGGGGTGGCGCTAGAGAGAGAGAGAGGGAGGACCGGGGTGGACGAAAGGGACGGCGGTGGCGTCGGTGTCCCAGGATGGGGTTGCGTTGAATTAATCATATTCCGGTGTTTGTCGTGGCGCCCCCAGACGTAATCCGTCTTACCTCCCGATCTCTCTCGCTCGCTCCTCCGCCGCGATAGATTTGCATTTTAATTAAAAGCAAAGCGCTGAAATCATAATGCGAAACGTGCGGCGCCGCCTTCGCCGTGTCATTATACGCGCGCGCGTGTGTGCGTGTCCGCGTGACGTGTACACTCGCTTCTCACGGACGCACGCTGCGTCGTCAAGAAAGATTGAGACGCGTTAAAAATCCGGAGCGTCGGTTCTGCATTAAACAAGTCTTGCCCGGCGCGCAAGATACTCCTCGAGTTTGCATTCAAAATGCGCACCAGATATCTAGCGACCAAGAAAAAAATATTCTCTCGCTCGTCATGCATTTTATTCTTCGTCGTTATCTATCTTTCGATTGCAAGAATTTCTTTTTTCACGTTCAACGTGGACGTTCGAAAGGAAGAAACGATTAAGTCTCTCCTCTCTGTCCGCCGCTAAGTCCCGATTTTCCGAGCGCGCGCCGTCTAAAGCAAACTCTCAGGCAAAGAGGGTAATGGTTAGCGGAACGGGGCTAATTACACGGAGCGGATGTAATCGAAAATTAAGGCGAGTCTCCGTATCCTCCAAAGCTCTGGCTGGCTACGGGAGCGCTTCGCGGCGAGCAGGAACGTACCGAGAGCATCTATTAGAAACGCGTTAACAAATGCCGGGATTAGTCTCGCGTCTACCCCCTCGAGCGAGGACGAGGATGCTGCTCCTTTGGTTTCCTCCTCTCTCTCTATCTCACTCTGGTTCTTTGCGGCTCTCCGTACATTCTACGAAACGGAATAAGCCGTGATATTCGTCTTGGGACCGGCGCGTAAGGCGTCGAGGAGATTTGCCGCCTAGAGAAGACCTCCGCATCTTCAAAGGTGGTCTAACCCCGCGCGAGGATAAACTTAAATGGTCGTGAGACTTCAAGGTCGATCCGAATCATGAATAATAGCGAATAGTACGAACGCGTCCTTGAGGCAATATACGAGATTCGCCACGTTTCCGTAGTATATAAAATAAATTATTTTCAGTTAATTGAACACACATTAGTATTATAATCAAATATACGTTTTGTTAGATTTAATATGTTACGTTTAATTTAAATATTTTTATACGTTCAATTAACAAAATATTTAGTTTAGTAAAATTACACACAAAAATTCGTTTGATTTAAAATATTCGATATACAATAAAGAAGATTAATCATCGATAGTACGTGACGAAACGTAATCCAAGCCGAGTAAATGACGCGCGTCTAAGAAAGCGAAGTCGAAGAAAGACGCGAAGACAAAAAAAGGAGGGATAACGAGGAAAGGTGCAAGAAGAGGGAAGAGATCAAGCGGTGTCGAAACCCCTCGGATTTCCACGGCTTCGCCGTCTCTTCAAATCCTCTTAAAGTCGTATTCCTTTGGCCTCGCCGGCCAAAGATAAAATCCAATTTCTAAATGAGCCACCGATCTTGCGTGAAACGAGCAAAACGAAAGCAGTTACATACAAACTCCATAATTTTGATCCTCCGAAACAAGTATTCCTAATCCCACCTTTCGTCGACTTGTATCTCTTCGCGCCTGCGAATTATCATTCTATTCTACGTGTCTTGTCCCCGGTCGGCTCGTAAACCACGAGGAGGAAATTAATGAAAATGTTTCCCGCTGCGCGAGGACGCGCAGCTTCCGGAATATTGTCGCTCGCGGCTCGAGACGAGAACAACGAGAAAGGAAAGGAGCGAAACTCACCTCGCGAGGGCTTCCATGTTCATATTCGGATTGACCTTGAGACCTTGTTCGGCCCGAGCCTGCGCCTGCGCCTGCAGGTGATGCGGCAGACTGGCCGGTGACAGGATGGCGGTGTGTCCCGCACCTGGGTGCCCGCCGAGTTGCATGAACTGCATGTGGCTCAGGTGCGTGGGTGGGTGATTGTATCCGTTCGCCAGAAGCGGTGACTTCTCCATCCTCGGTACGTCTGCAAACAGAATACGCACGCGTGAGATCGAATCAAGATTATGATTATTATTGCTGCGAAGAAATTGCATAAATTCAATTATCGATCTTTCTCCGCCTCTCGTGGCAATAGCCCGGGGAAGGACTGACTAACCGGGAAGGAGAATCGCGGAAGGTACGAAGGGAGTGTGTATTCAGATTTAAGCGGAATCGGGTGAGACGTGTAGCTCCCGGCGCGAAGGATAAAGAGCGCTTTTGCGGGTTTGATGGATCGCCGGCTGCTTAACCAAATATCAATCACAACAGACGGCAGCGCGCAGCCTCTGCGTATAATCCGCGCGTTGATAATTCGCGCGCGTCCACAAGTTGGGCTCTCGTATGTTTGCGCGACGCCTTAGCAAGCCACCGTGATGGATTCGCGAACGAATTCGTGGGACCCCGAGTGAATCGCCTATCGATGATTCGCTCTCTTTTTCTCCCGTCATAAAGCTTATTGCCATATATTCGATATCGGATATGCGACAGCGCGCCTGTATTATTCTTCGTGGTTCGCCGCCACCCCGAATACTCGATTTTTCAAGACAAGCGCGACCGACTCTCTCTCCCTTTCGTTAGTCGACAACGCGACGCGATAATGTATGCGTAGTCACGTTTTTTGATCGATGCCACGTAATTTGGACGCGTGTCTCTCGTCGCGGGGGAGAAGAACGTCGCTATTTGTTATGCCCTTGTCACCATATCGATATATATATATATATGATCTTGCACCCTGGACTGAAATTCACTTCCGCGTTTTAGATCGCACATATCGTGCTCGAATTATGCGCGCGCCCGCAGCGGCCTTCCCTCTGCACACATATGCGTTCGAAACTTGTCGAGGCCATTCCTTCTCGGCTCTCGGGCGAGGATGAAATCTCGAATTCTTTCCTAAGTGGTCCCGCTTAAGTTCGACGGTCCCGAGATGCTCGCGGCATTCCAGGACCGTCGCGATTTATTGCGTCTTTCTCGGAACCGTCATCCGCGCCGTCCTATGAAATATTAGATAAACGATACTGTTGTCATTCGGCCAACAGCCGACCTGGTCGACGTGCCCTTTCGGAAATAGAGAGAGAGAGAGAGAGAAGTAGAACGAGAAGACTGAGAGAAATTGGGAAGGGGTATGGAATGAGTAGTGCCTATTCATTACAAATTATCTAAATGGCAGTGATTTCGGCGGACCGGCTGGCCGTTTGACGAGTAAGTGGCGGGTTCGCCGGTCCCAGTGACTGTCATTCCGCGCCGGGCCAATTCGACAATTTGGCAGGCGACGGCCGGCGGGAAACCGAGGGCGCTCGGCAACCACTGCGGGACCCGGCCCATGACCGGCCCTAAAATTGGACTTATTACAACTTATAGAGCGCGATTTGAACGCTCCGCTCAATAACATACATTATCCCCAATCCATATGATTTAATGAAATCTCTCTAAACTCGCCACTTAGCCTCAGTACCTTCTCGCGCAGTGCCCCTTTTTGTATATGTGCCCTCACGCAGACTCTGCGGTACGTATATATATATATATATATATATATATATATATATGCATGCGCGAAAACGAACGGCGAGACGGAGAAAGAGATCGAGGAAAGCATCGAAGGGTTCGATTGTTGCGAGTATCCGAAATGCGTGTTTCTCAATTTTACAGCCGCGACGATGCGTCGCACAGGGTTCCGTCAGCGATGAAGACGTTCCACGACGCGATATCGGGTGGACAAGCGATATGTCCAAAGATTGGCATTACGTGGTGTCTTGTCGCCGCGCCGGTGAGAACCGAAACCAAGAAGCCCCGAAAGAGGGGAGCGCTTCGGGCGGCTCAATCACCCTCCGGATCGCCGGGATCTTAAAAGCCAAATGCGAAAGACGATAAAACACAATTTGAGCTAAAGACTGCACTCCTATAACCTCCCGCCCCCTTGCGGGCCGCCACCTTCCCTCCCCTCGACCCCTCCCGGAGGAGCTCTGATGAGGTGACAACCCATAATTATACAGACCGCTTTCTGTCTGGGGCTGACTGCGGTGGCATGCAGAGGAGAGGCCTCCATCATCCTTCTCTCCCTCGCTCCCTCTCCCCCGCCCTCATTTCCTCCTCTCTGTTTCTCTCCCTTCTCATCTCCTTCTTCCTTTCCATTTTCTTCTTCTTCTTCTTCTTCTTCTTCTTCTTCTTCGGTTTCTCATTCTCGAGTTGGTTCAGGAGGTTCCGGGCCTCAATCCTGACGCTTAATAGTGATACATACGTTTTCTTCACGTGAGGAAGAGTCGAAGGTGGAGCGAGTCGAAGCGAAATGACGGTGGGGGAGGAGGCAGACTGACCGGAGTAGTCGCTTCCACCCGTGCCACACCGTGCCCGTAGGAGAAGAATAACTTCTGCTACTTCTTTCTTGGTGTTAATTACGAAACGCGAGAATAAATTGCCGGACTAAATGAGTGCCCGGTATCTCTCGTCGGTCTCGTCACGTCTTTTCCTTCGTCTCCTACGACGCGTCGGAATTGAATGAAGGCTCGTACTATACACACGTACAACGCCGATGGAATTTATTAAGCATCATCAAATCGACTAGCAACCATTATTACACGTAGCATCGTATATATATATATATATATCCCCGTGTAATTTCAAAAGATATATTCAATATGAGAAAGCCTTAATATATACATTTTGACATTAAGTTGATTTATCTATCCGATAGAAATTTATCAAGGAATAATTCGACGAAAGATTCGCATAAATTTGATCTCGGCAATATGAAGGTTGTTGGTGAATATAATTCGCAGTCAGTTTCAATTTAAATATTACATCGAAAATATTTCCCTTTCGAGACTCGCGGTTCTTTTCGTCTTTCTTCGAGCGGAGGATCGCGCTTCTTTCGGCAAAGTATACTGCAATAGGCCGGAAGAAGGGTCATGTGAAATTATTCGGAAAATATGGCCTTTGTGGTCGCCGTCCTCAACGTAACCGCCATTGTTCTTACCAAACGACGAAGAATCTACCGAGGGCTACGAGCGCGCGTGTTTGTGCTTAGGCCCGTATATACATATGTTTACCCTCGACACCGACTCTCTGAAAACCCTTGGATTTAACCCTCGAACACCGACCCTCCGGCTACGACCGATGACATCGCGACTCTCTACGAGCTGCTCTCTTCTCCGTTTCGCGATTTCTCGCTCGCAATTAAAAGGATAAATCATTGTTGCACGTTTAATCTATTTGAGCTAGCGCAAGAATCGATCGAAATCGGGCGCAACGAAAAGACGCAGCGAACGTGCATATACACACATGCCACGAAATAACCAACATTGTTCCATCCGGGAGCGTGTGTTGGTACATAAACACAAGACGGGAAACACAGTTTCGCGCAGGAGGAATCCGGTTTTTCAAGTAATCGAGAGTCGAAGCAGCCAGCCAGGCCAGCGAGCAGGCGAGCGAGCAGGCGGGCAGCCATCGAGGTAGCTCCCAACGTCCGTCGAAAGAACGGAGGAAAGAGTGGATACCTCCATGGGTATCCTCCACACCTCCTCGCTCCTCCTCCGCTTCGTTGTGTATTCCTCTTTCCTCGTTTTCCCTCTCCGCACCCTACTAGCTCTCTCTCTTAATCGATCGGTCGGACAGTATGGGATGCGTTGAATCGTGTTGCGATTAATGATTAATTCAGGCGCGACTAAACGATCGTGAAAATTAATATTTTGTCGGATATAGATCAATTACTCGAAGAATTAACGAGTGCAAAATATTTTGCTCTTCGCGATCATTTTTCGCTATTTCTGACACATGATCTGACGCGATGAAAAGCGAGGCGAGAGTGTATCGAGACGTAGATAGAACTTTCTTTTTCGAATCCGCTGCGCGAATCCTCGCCTCGTCTTTACGGACTTTATCGAGTCCTTCCTCTTCCTTCGATCTCCCCTTCCTCCGGCCGTCATCTTTCTTTCCACTCTTCTCGCACGCAGCGATCCAGTATTTGTTCTTCCAGCGTCTCTCCTCCGCTCACGAGAGAAAATCATCCAAGGGCAGTAAACCCTTTGATATATAGTCGAAGGTTTTTAGAGTTCTGTCAGCCACGCCCACAATCAGCCTTAGTATTATTTACACTCCTCGTAGACGATCGTCTCCTCGTCTTTCTCTCGTTCCTTTTCTCTTCCACCTTACCTTACTGTCCAAGTCGAAACTAACGTCATCCTACCCTCCCTCTCTTCTTTTCATCTTGATCACTGGCCTTTCGTCTTCCACTTTTTAACGATTTCCCCGATGTATCCTGTCGCTTTGTCTTCGAACGCTCTGCATAATATAACAGTGCCAACCCGGAGGCCGTTGGGGGAATCATCCTATTTACTCCCTCCGCTCCCTCTGTCCTTTTGCTGCCTCGTGCGCTTTTTTCTTCTTCTACGGGAGGGCCGAGCCCTTCGATGAACGTACTCCGAATTTATAAAATTAGGTACGATCGCGCGGCTACGTCTTTCGCGAAATTATCTATCCCCGACGAATATACTCTTCTTCCTCTCGATCGTACCCGCGGGGCCAGATTTCGGGTTTCGCTCCGCGTCTATAAAAGCGCGCCCCGCGAAAAGAGGATCGGCCGGGCCAGGAATATAAATCGACGCATATTTTATACGACGCGAAATTTATCGGCCCGAGGAAACGGCCTGAAATTTCGATGATCCGATTATCGACACCGTCCGAATATATATATATATATATATATATTGTATTTCTTCTCCGATCATGCGCTCGAAACGAGGTGCTACTATGCGCAATTTCGATCGATTTCGTCTTTGTCTCGAGAGATAAGAGGCACAAGGGCGCGAAAGACGCGCGAGACGACGGCGATGGGGGACAAAAACACGGGTGAAACATTAGGTTTTTCGAAATCGCTCGTCGGCCGTCACGAAAAATCGTATCCGGGCCTAATCTCGAAGGTAAATCTCTCCCGCGGGCTAATCAAAACCGAGGATCGAAACCGGGGCCCGAACCATCTGCCCTTGCTGCCCG